GCGCCATCGATAAATTGAATCGGCGGAGGGCGGCGCCAGGATTTTAGGAAATGTACAGGTCATTACAGGAGCGCCCAAATTCATCCGACTAGAAACCTTTCTACGCTATTCTTTCTTCCATGGCGGATAGCTGTTTTAAACCACTAGTACACGGTCCCAGCCTTGCTGAAAAGAAAACTCGTCGCCTACAAAATTTTCAGAGGCCCAGCGCCATCGATAAATTGAATCGGCGGAGGGCGGCCTCCGAAAAGGGCCCACAGTCGATAGCTGGCTGTAATGGTGGTTTAAGTCTGGACGTACCTAAGCTCCTATCCTCTTGCCAAACACGAGTAAAAAAAAAAAAAAAAAAAAAAAAAAAATTTGGCCGAGGAACACATTTGGGAGCTGTTCAGCCGAACACACCCGAACGTGTTCGGGTGTTCAGGTGTTCGCTTTGCGAAAGCACCGAACACGTTCGGTGTGCTACACAGCTAGAAACACCGACGTCCTATCACAACTTTTTCTTCATTCATGTGGCTTTGTGTTTGCTTCTTTATTTTGATGCTGTCGGTTAATGTTGATGTTTTTTTTTTTTTTTTTTTTTTTCATTTCCCTTGCATTCTCTGGTGTTATGGTATTGACGCCGTTTGTTGGTGTTGCCTGTGTTACTGTTGCTATGGCTGTTTTTGCCGCTACTGCTACTGTTGTTTGCTTTTTTCTCGCTTTATCCATGTCTCTCTTCCTCTCTCTCCCTCTCTCTCCCTCTCTCTCCTTCTCTCCCTTCCTCCCTTTCTCCCTCTCTGTGTTGGTGTTGCTATTCTTATGGTTGTTTTTGCTGCTACTGCCACTTCTACTGTTGTTTGCTACTGTCGCTTCTGTCTCCATCTCTGTTTCTCTCTCTGTGTGTGTGTGTGTGTGTGTGTGTGTGTGTGTGTGTGTGTGTGTGTGTGTGTGTGTGTGTGTGTGTGTGTGTGTCTGTGCAGTATCAAGGTACATTGGGCATACCCAGTTGGAGATGAGCTGAGGATGGCAGTAGTGGCCAACTCGAATGGTTGGATTGGGATTGGATGGGGAACTCAGATGGTCCGGTCCCACAGTGTGATAGGGATTGACGAAGTTTCAGCAAAGTACTTGACATCATATGATCCGGAGACTTTTACGGATATTCCTACTGGTTTCATCGATGTCGCGTCGTCATCGATTACGCGGGCAAGTGGGATCACTACCATGAAGTGAGTTACTGAACCAAACCTCGTCATTCATCCCTTCCTTCCTTCCCTCCTCCCCTCCCCCTCTCCCTCTCCCTCCCTCCTTCCCTC